TGTTAGTCAAGCAGGATATTTGGAATCATCTCAATGGATAACATAAACTGAACTGGAAGCTACTCATGTAAAAGAACAAGGATTAATCTAAAGTTAAGGGGAAAATTAATTTCTTAAAAAATCCTGTTATTGCTCAGCTTATGTGCTATCTCATTAAATTCTTGTATAACCTGGGGGCTCTGTTTTCCCATTGGTGGGAGTGCTGGCTTTATTATCATTCCTCCAACAAAAATCCAGATTCGTAGCTCTGAAATACCTGAATCTGGTAAGAATATATTTACTGATGGGCTTGCTTTTTCCTCTTGTCTCTTCAGGCAAAAATACCTCCTGTTTATAGCAAAAATTAAATTATGGTGTGTTGGGACTTCAGTTAGGAAAATCTTCATCTTACCTTTATTATGAGAAAGGTAGATTTGAAAACCTTTGCTAGAGTTGCAGACATACCATTTAAAACTTTTGCAGATCCTTTTGCATTTGAGGGATTCACCATCAATATTCACCATTGCTGAAATAATTTTAGGTGGTGCTTGGTCTGTGAAGGTGTTTCCCCTTCTTCTGACTGTGTTGAAATCGCTCAAAGGGAAGGGGAAGAACACTTAAAGCTTATACTAGTAACTTAAATGCCTTAATGAATTTCTTTCTGGATTACTGGATAAGCCAATGTGCTTCACATGGAGACGCTTTTTAGTTTAGGACTTAATTTCCAGATTTTTACCTTAAACTAACAATAGATAGAATTTTCAAAAAATGTTTAGGAAGACAAGTCTTGGAAAGGAAACCATTTGACATACTGATTGTTCCTGCGTTTCTCTTAGCTCCTCGATTATGTCGTATCAGCTGTATAACTCTCTTTAGTGCCTTCTAGTCCTAATCACGTGTTGTACTAGGCAGAATGAAATGTATAGGCTTTCATTCTTTGAACTGTCTTCTAGTTTCAACTCAAAATACTGATAAAAGGATAATTCTGATGCTTAACTGGTATCTCTTATTACAGGGGGAAGATTCTTTTTAACGTGATTACTTACAAGTAATAGTTCCTCATCATGGCTGAACTATCACCTGAAGAAATTCAGCTGAGAGCCAACCAGGTCACTGATGAGGTGAATATTATAGGAAGCCACCTGGGATTACAGTACTTATCTACCAAGATTACAATATCTTTTAAAAATAAAGACAGTCTAGGGTAGTGATTCTTCAAGGGTATAGCTGAATGTTTCAACCTGTCACTTTACTTGGTAAATACTGGAGTGAAGACTACTCCTGAAAGTAAGAATTAATTTAGACTTCTGAATTGTAAAGCCACCTACCTGACTGAGTGTTTATCACACAGTCCTGATTATTGAGACAATGCAGGCTGGGTACCTACACTAAACTTAATCGTGTTGATACTTCATGACTCTTTTTATTTAACTAAAATTCATTTGAATATATTTTCTCTTACAATGACTTTCCAATCGGATAATCAAAGTACTAGCAAGTACTAAAAAACAAGGGTTTACTAGCTACTGAAAATAAACTCTAGTATGCTGCCACTATGACTGTGTTATAAGGTGTATTACATAAGGACGGGCTGATGAACCTTTGTGTACTTGTTGCCTTACTGCAATAACTGGTAAAGACGACTTTCAGACACAGATATTTACTGTTAACATACTCATTTTAAAATTCTCTTTCTAGTCTTTGGAAAGCACAAGGAGGATTCTTGGCTTGGCCATTGAGGTAAGCAAAAGTGTTCCAATTCCTTGGGGATTTGTTAATTTAAGTGTAAGCAGCAGCATGTTAAATATCACAAAGTGATCTTAAATCACTTTTTTGTCTTTCTCAAACGTTTTTGACACACACTTCATTATTAGAAGTTGCTGCTCTAATTCATTAGTAGAGCTGGAATTATTTAAACCTAATGTTTTTCACACTACATAAAGTCAGATTACAGAAGGATCAATAACCTTTTTACCTGTTTTCTCTTAAGCAAGATGGCTTAGTCTCCAAATGCTGCAGATCAGTTATAAAAAGTCTTCTGTGACTGTCAGTTATGGCTTTTGCTGCTGCATCACTTGCTTCTCATAGTATCTTCTCTTTGTCTTTTAGCTCACTTTGCCTGTGAAGAGTGTGAAAATGTCTTGCTTTGAGGAGGGTCGGGCTCAGTTGGGTGGGGTAGTAGAGTGTAGGGCTGCTTTTGATTCTAAACAAAAGTAATTCTACATATGCCTTCTTACAGTCTGTTCATCAGTTTCAATTTTAAAGATAGTTTACATGATGAGGAAATTCTTGACACCCTTGTACATGACTTGAAACAAATCTGTTTCAGGTTTATCTAGATGACATTGTATGAGGAATCTATTCCTCTATACCGTTATGGCTTGTGTGCCCCATTGTAAAAACAACTGCAAGTTTTACTTTTGATACTGTAATTTCAAAAAAATAGAGAGTATCCTGTTGGTAGGGAGTAACATAAGTGGCTGATAGTCAGCTCTGGTAGACTTAACAAAGCTTAACTGGTTCAGCAAGATAATTTTGGTAGTACTTGGGTATGACGTAGACAAATGGGAATCCTGAGACTAAGCAGCAATACCTTCCAAAGCTAATGTCCAGACTTGTAGTGCAGAAGACTTGAGACAATTTATTGTCCGTGTAAGAACACTAAAAATAATCCGGTGAATAAGGACCCTAAGGTGTTTGGTCACCACTGCTTTAAAGCCTGTAATCACTGTCCGCGTGGTAGCAGGCTGCTTGTGGAGCTGAAGATGCTACTGTTATCAGTAAGGTATTTGAATCAGCAGAGCCTAATGAATACCTCTCAAACACAAATGTTAAGAACATGTAATGAGCCAACATAATTTCTCTTGGTATCATAGTTTAGCTTCTATGAATCACCAAACTCCTACCATAGACAATTCTATGCTGCCAGTTTACAGTAAAGCATGGGTGCACTCTGAGCCAGCAAAGAGCTGGTCTGTGGTATATTACCCACTGCTGATTTCTTTTGCTTGGTTCTAAAACTAGTAATGGGCTATTCTGTTCCTGATCTCTTCTGCTGCATTTTTAAGAACAGTTTTGCAGGCTTTGTTTTGCTTTCTTTTATTCTGGCTTCCAGGACCAAAGGCCTTGTCAACCCTATTGAAGGGTGCAGGCATAGAGAATGAATTGAATGCCACTTTTCAAGGCACAGCTAGGTTTACTTTTTAGCTTGACGTTGTCATAGTTCAGTCTGAGTATTACAATAAATTTTATTGTCTTGTTGTAATGTAAAAAAGCCCTCACAGAAACCCAACTAATTGAGATAGTGTCACAGGTGAGATTGTCAGCCTGACATAGGATCTAATTTGAAATTTAGCATAGCTTTACTACAGAAGTTATTCCTAGCACAGTGTTTTATTATGAACTTGGTTGGCTTATTAAATTTACTGTAGAGAACTTCTGATTTTGCACTGCTGTATTGAAATCTGTTTTTACATCTGCAAATAAATTTCTTTCTGCAGTCCCAGGATGTTGGTATCAAAACTATCACCATGCTCGATGAACAAGGAGGTGAGTTCTTCCTTATTCTTCCCTAACACTGAAAGTCCATTTTATGACTGTAAGAAAAAGGATTATCATTCAAGAGTTGTTCCTGGAACTAAAGGCTTGTTGAAGACTACTTATGTGAAAATATGAATTGGTTATTCCCATGTGTTTGTGGTATTTAAGAGATTTAAAATAGTTGAGAGACCATGTTAGTTACAATGTAATACAGCTCTGCTACCGAAGCTGTTCCTTTCCACCACAGCATGAATGTGTCTGCATTCTAAAAGCAGCAGCAGAAGGGCTGCTCTAAGGATAGGGAAAATATTTTTAAGGTAGTGAACAAAACTTATCACTTCATATCTTTCTTAAAAAGAAAAAAAAAATTAAAAATCCCAAAAAGCAAGAAGGCAAAAAAGTGTTAGTCTTGGTATAAAGACTAATTTATAGACTATATATAGACTATAAAGACTAATTTTATATTTCAGTATAAAAACTGAAACTGAAAGTTCCTGCTTGAAAGAAATGTTAATATCCCACCCCCACCTCCCCCCAGTCTGTGTTTATTCAGGCTACTTGTTTCTCTTCTAGAACAACTAAATCGCATAGAAGAAGGCATGGACCAGATAAATAAGGATATGAGAGAAGCTGAGAAGACACTGACAGAGCTCAACAAATGTTGTGGGCTCTGTGTCTGTCCTTGTAACAGGTCGGTTAAATTAGTACTTGGGTCTGAAGTTCTAGAATATTCCCTATAGCTACTGTACTGGGAGATGGTCTCTAATAAGAGCTCATCAAAAATGCTGAATCTCTAGGAAAGTCGACTCTTGGTTTGTGGACGTGCAGCCTTTTAAAATTGTGTGAGTAGCTAAAGCTTGCTTGCATCTAACCATATACTGTGCCCCTTTTAGTGTAAATATAGCTGCTACATAACATCCTGCACAACTGTGCCCTAATCTCCTTAAAGCTTGTATTTAGTAGAATACTATTAATGTCTGTGCAGGTGTTAACCGAATTGGACTGCAAATAGCTATGTGTAAGTGCCTGTCTGTTAGAAATTTGACTCCAAAAATTTTTTCACAAAAGTACTTTTGTACTAACTTAAAAGCAAGAAAACTTCTGTTTTGCAGAAGGAAGGTAATATTGATTCTCTAGGCATTTAAAAAATGTTCATGCTTTAGGGAGGAGGAGAATAGGAGAACAGATGCTGGTGTCAAAGCTTTAATCTTTCACTAGTGACTACATAAATTCCTGCAGACCTGCTTCACAGTACCTTTATAACATCAGTGTTATGAGTACCATATGCAAGTCAGTTAAGAGTAATCTAATCTTTTTGTATGGCACTTGATTTGTACTTCTAAACAGCCTAAACAATGATCAAAAACTAGTCTTATAAGAAAAACAGTATTTATTTTTTGGAGGTATGCTAGGTTTATCTTTAAGCAGCAAAGTATCAAATTGATTTGTGTGAATTGGATGTGATGATAGTTCTTCCAAGTGAAGGAGAAATAGGTTATTTTAAGAGTGTGCCCACTGAAGTGAATAGTTTATGTGATTGTTCGTTTTTAGCTCTTTAGCATGAGCAAAAAAACCTTATCGCTCATCTGAGAGGTAGCAGAAATATAGGTTAATTCCTTGGAATAGCTGAGTCTGCTTATTCAACAGAATAATACTTTGAGGATCATCTAGGATAGATATGAATGTGGCTTCTAAGACTGAAAGTCTTAGAGCTTTAGTACCTTGAAAAGGCAGATAGTTATGTCCTGACCTCTGGATAGGTACGCTTACTGCTTTATATTAGTTTTATCAAGCTGATGGACTTTGAGCATTCTGACACACTCAGTCTTTGTTTTCTGTAGTTGACAGTCTTACTTCACTGAAGCGAAGCAGGTTTTTGACACTGAGCAAGCTCAGAATTTGTGAACTCTCGTGGCACTCTAAATACACAGATAACAATAAAAGAAATAACAAGTTATGTATGAAAATGGGCAGTAATGTGCAGAAAAATCTACTAGATAAGTAGAGGGCAATGAAGAAGAAACTGAATGCCTTTCATACATGAATTTTTCTGTCAATGTCAGTTATTTTTCAACCAATTATCTCCAAAGCTTTTAATTCTTTCCAGAAAGCTAAATTAGAACATTTGCTGAATTAAATATTACTTTTACCATTTCTCCTGGGCTTAGATTACTTATAAAAGCTTTGTGAAAACACAAAATACTGGCAGTACTCTAATATGATCTATGTACTAATAACAATTTACCTGTTTGCTGGTCTTCACTATTCATTCTTCTCCGTTTTCTCCTAACACTGACGCTTGCTTTCTAAAAATGAAGACTAGGATAAGAAGCTGTATTCACTTAACTGGTGAAAGCGGATTTTAGGACAAGGTCAGTCTTACTAGTGCAGATGTACATTTAACCAGCTGTCTGAAGTGATGTTTCTATTGGATTTGTGCTTGCATGTGCATGATGTCTGCCTGCAGGTCTCCTTGTGACTGATGTATTGTAATACTGACGTGAATAGAAAATGTCAAGTGCTGTAGAGTGTATTAGCTGTGGAAATGTTGAACAACTGCTTGAGCCCTTGCTGGTTTGACAAGTTGTATAAATTGCCTTATTCTTACAGAAATGAAACATGAGAAAAGTGAATGTATAGTAATTTGAAAAACAACTCTTAAAAAAAAAATCAGGTGGTGAGAAGCTTGGTTTTTAACTGTGCTCTGTTTGAGCAACAATTCTGTTTCCAGCTGTCCACTTCAGATGTGCGAGTAGTTTTCAGGCCACTTGTTTTTATTCAATAAATTCCTCACAGTTACCTCTGGCACCTAAGACTTTGCTAATCCAGAAGCCAAGCATATAAAGCTCTCCTGCTGTTGCAGCTTTAGTATGAATGAGATTAAAATATAATGCTCAATCTAGTTGCAGTAAACCTAAAGAGATCTTTAAGCCTGTGTATGCACAAGAAGCTCGAATTTAATAGTTTAGGTTTCTTTAGGGTTCTGCCAGGTGCAGCAGTTCCATTATGAACTGAGAAATTATTCCATATCTCCCCCTTGATGCATTCATATTAGATTACTTTTCATACAATCTGACCTATCAAAATGGGAAATGTTATTTCATTACATAAATGCCAGAAGAATGAGGGGAATATTTCTTCATTACAGCTAATTTCACACCTCTTCATGTGTGAAATATCTGGGCTACTGAAAGGCACTACAGATAAAGGAATTGATTATCTGTATTTGTAAAGTTGGATGTACTGAAAGACACTACAGATTTTCCTTCACAGGCTTTTAAAGATACAGAAAAGTGGCAATGGAGTCTGGATTATCTAGCTTAAAACTGAAAGTGCCAGCAAACAAGGTGAACATGAGAATATTCTTCTCAAAATATGTTCTTTAGGTTCATGTGAACTGACCCAAATTTAGATCACTTAGCTTTCTGTTATATTTTCTTCCCTTCTTGCTTTTGTGGGTCTGTGATTCTTGAGATTGCTTCATGTCAGTGTGCTTTCTTTAATTTTTTTCTCTTCTGAATTACGTGGTAAAAGTGTAATGGTAGGTTGGTTTGTCACTTTAATGGAGTTAGTACAATTGAATTGCAGAATGAAGGAGCTATTTAAACATGATTGGTGTTATTTCATAATCAAAATTAACCTGAGAAACATTAACTTTAAAAAGAAGGACTTGGCAACAGAAAATGTTCGACAAAAGCCAGAAGAGATTAATGCTTTTCTGGCATAGTGTAGCTATTTGTATTTGAGGGAGTTTTTTTCCTTCATTCCCACTTCTCTGACAAGTGACTAATAATGACTCTAGACTAACTCCTGTTGTAAATGCAAACTTACCTTATGACAGTGGAAGCTTTCCTGTTACTGTCATAAGCTTCCCCTCTTCTGGTAAAATATATTACTTTAAGGAAATTACTGTGCTTGTATTAAAGCTGGAGACCAAATTAATCATTGTCCCTAGAACAACTCAGTTATGTTTGTACTATCCTGATATAAGAAATTGTATTGTATAGATAAGGCTTTTCCTACACAAAATGTAATCTCTTTCAGGCATAAGACAAGTGTTTCTGAAAATACTAGATTAATACAGAACTCAGTCAGGAAGCCATATTTCAGATGTAGCAGTTCAGATTTCTTATTTTTACGGAGTAGGACGAAGAACTTTGAGGCTAGCAAGGCATACAGAGCAACCTGGGGAGATGGAATAGAGAACTCGGCAGATCATGTGATATCCATGCAACCAAGAAGTATAAATCAGCAGCAGCCTCAGACTTCTGGAGGACCAAGTGGTGGATATATTACAAGGTTTGCTTCTTCAAATTTCTCTATCAAATGCAGAAATCCTAAGTCGCCAGTTGTCAGCCTCTTTCATATGCTTTTTAGGTGAAGTTGCTATATAGTAAGTTTTTTAAATACTGTTTGGAGGAATTGTTACAGCTTGGAGAGGAGATGGCAGACACATGCGCTTTTTTTATTGTAGTGCTCATCTTACAGTTTCATTTTTTTCATAATGGTGGTATTATCAGTCTGTTTCTGGATGTGAGGACTATAGATCTTAGTGCTTGGTTATTGAGGGGACTGTTAAAAATATAAAGGACTTTTATTGTCACAAATTGAAAAACTGTCTTAAGCTTCCTATGGTAGCTGTTATTTTAAATTCTAAGGCTATTTTTGTAATAGCTTAGCATCTTTTTTTGGTGGGCTGCTTGCTTGGAATATATGGGGCTTCAACAGGGGAAAAACCTACCTTGGCTTGAATATGTTGCCTGTCAGTTAACTGTGCAACAAACAATTTCTGTTAAAGTAAATTTAGGGTAGGTAAAAACAAGTTCTTGATTCTTGGAAACATTGTCTTAATTGTTTGAACAGGATAACAAATGATGCCAGAGAAGATGAAATGGATGAAAATCTTGCTCAAGTGGGAAACATTCTTGGGAATTTGAAAAACATGGCTTTAGATATGGGAAATGAGATTGATGCCCAGAATAAACAAATAGACCGGATAAATGTAAAGGTAAGTGTCAAAGTTGTTCTCTCTCTTCATCTTAGAGGTTGTTACGGAGAAGTTATAAGAAATGGGCTCATTGTCCTATCTACTTGTATGTGTAGTAAATATGCGTTAAGATTATACCCATCCTGTAGGTTGCAGTGATTTCAATGAGACGTATCTTCGTGTTTGCGTATGTAACTGAAAATTCAAATGCTTCAGAGTTGCAAAAATGCAACACTGGTCACTCCTTACCCAGAAAGCAACTAAACTTGTTGGGATCAAAAGGGTAAACATTTATTGGAGGTATAACTCGGGGATTGGTGCTCGCAGGGAATCCTGTATGTGATTAGGGAATAGGTGTTTTTAACAGTAGCAAGATTCTTCTGGAATTCCTAAAAAGTTACTATAATCATTGAATAGAAAATAAAATATAGGTAATTCATTGCCCTGATTCTCTTGGACAGATTAATATTGGGGCTGGAAAGACTTTGGAATAATAGGCTTTGTAGATGCACAGGGACATGGTTAGTCCTCATCTGCACATGAAGCTAGTCATAGCCAGTAACATGTCTTATTTTTTTAATTTACTGCTTTAAAGATGAACATCCCAAAACAGATGAATCGTATAAATATGTTTTGGAATGTTTTCTTTCAGAGGGTAATTTATGAGGAAATTAGTTGTATTTTAGAAATCCGCATATTCTGAAATGAGTAGATATTCTTTTACAGGGATCCTCGTTAAGAAAGGAAATGAAAGCTTTAAGGAATAGTGTATATTAAAGATTTAAAAAGCAGAATTGAACCAAATTGCTGTAAAATTATAGAATTAAGACAAAACGGGAAGTTAAAGATATCACCAAAATGCACGGTAGGGTTAAAAGCAAGAGGAACAGAATTTTCTCAACTATACAGAGCTAGTCTGATATAAATGCTGGTTGTACTTATGTCACAGTCTCAATTTTGTTCAGTAATGTAGGGGTTGTGATATTAATAAGGCCAATCAACATGATACTATGGAGGATGCCTTGTCTTTCACTATTCCCTGAAACTGTGGATCTGAGGTGATTATCAACTAAAAGAAGTCACATTTTAAAGAACATTAGAAAATTTAATCTGTGTTTAAAATGAGGTGTGCAATTCTTACAGCTTATAAAGTGGACTGAAAATTGCCTGGTCACATTAACTGCAAGTGTGAATTACTGGTTTTTGCAGTAGTGTTTCTGGTAGTTTCAAGCACCTGTTTTGGCTTGATATTCTTTCATTTTAGTGGTCTGAATAAATCTTGCTGAGCAAGCCTTACTAACTATTAAAATAAGATGTAAACAAGTTAAAATTGCTTTACAGAACAGCAGTAAAAATGAAAGTGCAATTCCTGGCTTTGAGACTGGCAACCTGTCTCAGAATATTTAAATTAGCCCATTTTTGCTGATAACTGTGTTTAAATCTAGTGAACAGTGTGGAAACCAAATCAAAATGTTTAGGGTAAATCTCCAAAGGATGGTATCGTATAAAGAAATAAAAAGCAGCATTAAGCTTGTCCTCAGAATAGAGTTGGTGCTGTTATTATTTAAAAACTTAAAAATTCCAACTCGGCTGGGAAATATATAGGCTTGACTGGGTGACTTTTGGTAGCCTACAGTGTTACATAGGACTCCTAGTCTGAATAAACCACTGATAAAAGCTTATATTACTGTTTTTTTTTCTTAGAAGATCTAGTAGCTAGATCAGTGTGTTTCCAAAGTGTTAACAGGTTAGACACTCACTTTTCTAGATTCTTGCCCTTCCTCTAACCCTTGACCTAAAGGGCAGGAAGGAAAGAAGAGGAAGGAAGGGCTTGAAATGCCAATGTCCTTTTCCCAACCCATTGCAGTATGAAGGTGTGAAATGGCTAGTACTTGGCACAGGTAGAGCTCCTCAGGAGTCTCACTCCTCATGGTGAGGGCAGAGGCTAGTTTTATGCTTGTTACCCACTGCAGACTGGATAATCAGTGAATTACTTCGAAGCTCCTTATCATACCTTTCAGTAAAACTGCATTTTGACACTTGTTCAGCCTAGATGCTGTGGCTGACTTGATGCTTTATAATAGTAAAACAATAAAAAAAAAAGTGTTGTTCTTACAGATGCTATACTATTACGACACTAGGACACTGGAGGGTGTGTGGATAAAAACCAGGGATTTACACTAAGCAAAATAATTCTGACTTTATGCCCATAGGTCACCTTCAGTTTTGACTATTACTTCTAGTCCATAGCAATAGATCTGCTCTGTAGAGGTTCTTAAGATGTCTGAACACTTGGAGGGGGAATTTTTATCCCCTTATGCTGTTAATATTCTTCCGGACTTGCTGAAGCAAGCTGCTATATGTTTTGAGGGTCAGCTAAAGACTAAAAACTATTTGTCCTGATTTTGTTTCTGCCAAAATTGACAGCATATGCTGGCTGAGGTGGCACAGGGGGGTGGGGAATTACTTCCAACTTCTCTAAGTTGCTTGCCTTCTGTCTGACACAACGATAATACCCTTTTGAATTTCTGAAGTTTGAATTTTTAAATTGCTTTGCATGAAGTCTGCAAACAACCTATGAATTTCTCTTTCAGGCTGATACAAACAGGGAACGGATTGAGCAAGCCAACATCAGAGCCAAGAAACTAATTGACAATTAAAGTCTGCTGTCATTGTTCAATGACACTGTCTCTCCAGCTGCAAGCCACCATAGTCACGGATCTGTGAAACTTCTTCTATTCTGAAATAAGAGGGGCTGGGAAAAATGAAGCAGTACCCTTTCTATAGGGATTAATTTTCTTTCTTTTTTTATTGCTTCATCTAAACGTGGCCTTGACTCCAAGTAAGCAGCCAACATAACGTCTTCCTACTCATCTGCCCTCACTTTCTTTAAGCTGCTCAGGGCTAAAAGTGTTATGGCTTTGAGAATCTTCTTGCATGTTTTATTCCACCTCCCAGTCTTTTTCCTGCACCCAAAATACAGTCCTTTATCAAAGCTGAATAAGCGGGGTAACCTGAATTCACAGTTGCGGAAAGTTGGAGAGGGCACTTTGCACTGTTTGAAATACCTCATAAGTTGGGTGTCTTCACTAAAATAGGGACTTGGTGAATATTGTCTGACTTTTATCTCTAGCAGGCTAACCATAGTTTTACAATATAAACCACATGATTGGTTTGGGGTTGAGTTTGTGGATTACAGCATTAGAGGCCCGCTACTTACTATTTGTGGGTTGAGGGCTTTAAAACGCTTCTTAAACACACAAACTTTAATGCAAAGATAACTGGAGGGGTACACAGGTTTCCATTTATTTACTGTAAATTGACATTGTTTTGGAGGCTACAACTAGGAAATCATGCTGCATTATTCTGATAATTTGTTGTGTGTATATATACCTGATCTAAACCCCATGCACATGTGAGTAGAAGAAAATAAAACTGTCTCCCTAAGAATTTATTTAATGGAAAATTTTATGCCCCTCTTCTAAACGTTAACTTTTAAGTGTTTGAATGATGCATCTTAACTGGAAGAAACTGAGTAGAAAAGCATGCAGCTTTCTCACATCCCATGTCAGCTTCTATTTTGGCCAGTTTTCACTGGAGTTCAGCTTCTGCCTTTCTCCAGTGCAAAATAATGACTGAGATCTGATGCGGAGTTTCTCAGCTGTGACTTCAGGGAAGCTTCTTAAACCTACTCAAAACAGAAGCTTATCATGAAAATTCTTTGTCACAAGTCTGGAGGAAGCAGTGCCTATTTAAGAACTGTATGCTAGTTCTAAATAAACTAGTTCTAAATAGATTCCTGACTGATTTATTATGGCAGACTTTGGGACTGGAAATTGGAAATACTACACATCCAAGTTGCTTGCAACTAAAATGTTACAGAATTCTGTTGCAGAATAGAGAGGTTTCTGACGAAGGGAGGTAAAGCTTTCTTCCTAAGAAAACCATTTTGGTTTTACTGTAATAGAATCAGATTTATTCCCAGGATTTTCTTGACTCTTTTTTTGCAAGTAAATTGCAAGTGTAACTGTGTAAGACCCGTGTAATTTTAACTCCACCCAGCAACATATGCCTGTTTTAAAGGTGGAAATGATGCTTTGGACTAACCTGTGATACTCAATGTTGCATGGCAAAAGTCTTCAAACCAAATCGATTGGAGGAATCATTAGAAATAATAGCATTATGGGGTGGTTTTTTGAACAGTCCACAAGTATCCTGCAGCTGTTCATGAATCCCAGGGCTAGAGACATGACACTAATCTGCTGAAATGTAAAACAGTGTTAAATGGTTTGTTTTTCTTCTTAGTAGAAATACAATCAGTATTACTGGTATATTCTCAGTTCACTCCCAGGACAACTTGATATTTCAAGAAAGGAAAAACACAACAACAACAAACCCAAAACAAAACCACAGAATGCCCCACAAACAACAACAACAACAACAAAAAACACAAAAAAATTGACCAAACAATGGAGCTGCTGCATGTAAAAAAATAGGCCAGTGGTAGACTGTCTTATGTCAATAAGGTAAAGTCATTTTTAGGGGACTGGATACTTCAGTAGTGTGTGTCTTTGCTTCTGTCTGGCTTCCAGTAATTGCGGAAAGCTAATGAATTTTAAAAGCTCATTATCTACCCCATTAGTAATGAAGATTATGTGCTTAAAAACACAAATAGCAAAGTAGTACTTCTAGGAACATTGCAAGTGGTTGTTAGAAATTTACTATGCATGGGAAAGCACAGGGGATTTGTATGCTTTTTTTTTCTTCCTTAGAAACTTCAGGTTAACTGAAGGAATATTTGCTGCTGGTTGTGAAAGCAAAGCATACATTATTTAATTATGATTGTCTCCTGGAACAGAAGACTAAAGTCGTTACCATATTCTGCTTCCAACAGTGTAAACCTGCTCTGTAGCATCTGGACATTCCAAACATTAGAATGTTTTTCTCCCTTGCCATTACAAGTCCATGTTGTGGCTGTCAGGAGGATGTTCTTGATTTCCCCGAGCTCTAACAACTAATTAGGATGTTGGCTGGTATATCAGAATCTTAATATTGCAATGAATACCACACATAATTTCTGAGACACTAAGCTTGAGTATTGGCAGAATATCAATACTATTTTCTGATTGCAGCAAGAGCCAAATCCATGAGGGGGTTGGTGCCTGTATGTTAGTGAACAACACAGTCTGCTTCTTGGATTGTCTTACTGTTGTCTGTAGAATAGATGCTTAATTTCCATATCTATGGGATGGAATCAGCACTTGTACATCTTTGTATTTCTGAATGCTATTAAGAATGAAGGTTTACAGTTTCTGATTTTGATTGTTACACTATGTTGTGCACAAAAAATACATACTTTTGTAACTGAATGTGTTTTAAAACTATTTTCTCTTAGAAATTTGTTTAGTTTCCTGTCCTTGAAAAACTTGGCAGAACTAGTTGCTACTATGCAACTGGCAACTTTGCCTTCTATTTTTATTTCACAGAAATCCTAATGCTAACAAAGGAATGGGTGTGGTTTGGAAGGGAGGAATATTTTTTTTAACACTACTTTTCATCCTTGCATAATCAACATCACTTCAGACTATGAAATGTGTCCATCTCTGCTTTGAAAGACTGCGATTTGACATAGGACTATACTTCAGGTACTTCCAGTCAAGTATTGGTAACAGATGCCTGGGAAATACCTAGTCCAGTAGGTGAAAACTGATTATTTAACCTACTGCCAATGCAGTTTCACTTGTGAAGCAATTTAGAATAGTATTTTCTCTGATGCTCAAGCCTCAGATCCCCCGAATGCTCTTAGCGGGGGATGAAGTGGGGGGAAATAGAGACTTGTGTTGACTTGCAGCAGTTTAGACCTGCAGGAGAGAATAGTGGCATCTGTGAATGGCTTGGAAGAAGTACTACTTGTACAACTGTGGGGCTGCCTGGTATATTTCTACCAGCAACTAGGGGAAAAAAAAATTAGGGACAGCTTGCATATATAACCCTTCTGAGCAGGCAGCACATGTTGCATAGGTACACTTAAACCATGATAGTCGGTGAATTCAAGCTGGCCTACCCCTTGATGAGAGATGAGTTAAGCCTCTCAGCACAGGGGTAGCTACAGCATGGACTGCAGCACATGCTGCTTGTGCAGTAACTTGTGGAACTCTTCCCTCTGTGAAGGCTATATGGTGAAACAACTTGCTGTTTACACAGAGCAGTGACTTGCAGTTGCCAGTTCACCTTTGCTGCACTTGAAACAGCAATGCACTATCTAAACGTTGATTGAATAAATGGATTAAAAGTGTGTCTTACTGCAATGGAAAATTGGAGAGCAAGTGAGAGATAAAATACATGAATGGTTTATATTATTAACTGGGGCAACATTTTCTATCTCAATTCAAAAACTAAAAAGCTGCAAGTATAATTGTGCATGGAAATAAAATTGTTTTATAGTGCCACTTCTAGAGTGGGTGTGGTGAAAAGGGAAAACTGAAAAACACAATATAAAACTACAAATAGATTATGTGTAGGGTTGAAATGTACAGAACAGTGTGCTAAGTGACTTGGTGACAGTAATTTATTCTATGACCTAAAAACATGTGAGGGTGTCAGACAGCTTTTTTTTTCCTGAAACAAAAATATTCTTCCTCAGTTCTGTAACAAACTTGGCTAATCAAGGACTAACTCAGCACCACTCAGTATTTTGCACAATGTTTTCTCCCTTTTTGCTTTACAAAATTTTCATAGCTGTCATAACTCCAAGGTAGCAAAGGAGGAGCCTAAAAGAGTAATTGAAAGGTTTATAAAGGTACTAACTGTATACATAAACAAGAGAAATGTTGAATTACTATCTCAAATTTTTCCAACAGCAGTAAGAATTTTTAATAGCAATGTGAACTTAATTTTTAAATGTTCTAATTTACTATCTCTTCTTACACATCTTTAAATAGACAGAAGAGTCCTGATAAAGAAATGTTAAATGTGAGAGAAGCAGCATCTGAGCACAGAATATTTCTGGTTAAAAAAAACCAAAACCACAGCACAACATTGCCAAGTGCATGCATATCGATGATAGACCGCTCCGTTGTAGTTGGCGAGTTGCTCCTTTCTCATGCAAAGGGAGAATCTGTGAACTGAGGGGCTTTGTTCTGTGGATGTCTCCTGCATGGCAAAACTCTATGGTGGGGGCATGAAGCTAATACTTCAAAGGAGATTTAGATATCAAAGGGAAGGAGCTGAACTTAAAATAAGCCTGAGGCTTTAAACTATACACTGCTGAATTTTCACGTCATAATCTGTGGAGTGTATTAGTATGAAGCTGAACAGATTTCTGACTATACATGGCCTTGCATTATGGTAACATACAGGTTCTGTTCTTAAAGCTCTCCCCTTGTATGTCTTGAAAAACAAAGTAGCCTAGTAAACACTGACTGCTGTCAGCAACCTCTTACAGGAAGATGGATTTTTTTTTCATAAAGTAACACCTGGAATGGTGGTTCTTAGGCAAAACTGGTTCCCTGTTTAATGATGGATCTCACTCATCCTTTGAATAAGGAGCCAATGTTCCCCAAAACACTCTTATAGTAGGTATTACTGAGTAAGAATTGAAGTAAGACATTGACAGGGTCAGGGAACTAGATACCTCTTCTGAGCATCTTACAAAAGAATCCCTAATTGCTCATCTTAACTATAGTTATTACATTGAGGAAAAAGAGTGGCACAGAGGCCACTTTGTTTTTCTTAACTGCAGATGGTGTAAGACATTGAATACTTGATGATTACACCAGCACCTTTAAGGATTTTGCTGTCTAAATGATGTTCGTGTCTGATGTAGGAAAACTTAAGTATACAGCAGTAGTTAATGTATGATTACCTGTAAGACAGTCTCATTAGGAATAGATGCAGCCATGCTTATCTTGCCAAGAAGTGCACTTCATACAGGTCCTACCTCACTGTTTTGCATGTGCAGTACGTATTAACTGAATTGCTACCACAGTGTTGACATACTTAAATCCTCTGCATTCTCAAAGCAGTTGAACTATAGCTGTTGCCAACAACTGATGGAACCAAGTACCTAAGTGATGGCTTTCAGTGATAGCTTAGTACTACTTGTTAAAGTGACAACAGCAGCAGTTACACCAAATAAACTTGAACTGTGTTTTTTTAAAAAATTATTTACTAAAATAAACAAGTACATTTTCCTTTTCAGTATAAGTTACATAATTGCATACATTTTTAGCTCTTTCTAGGTGCTTCTGGTAATAAGGCGGCAGCAGCAGGCAGCTAATGACCAAAACTGTCAGCATTGCTTGGTACATGAGGAGTCAGTGCAAGGTTGTTAT